AAAGAGACAAAGAACGAATTAAACTAAGTTTAAAGTTAAGCGACATTGGTGAAATCGGACCCAAGATTGATGTTAAACGGCGTTTAGTGAAACCAGGCCTTAGGCCCGATTTCACCAAACGTCGCTTAACTTTAATCTTATTGTTAGTTTAATTCGTGTTTGTCTCTTTCTAAAGTAACAGTTGGAGAGCGACAAAGAACGAATTGAACTAATTGTAAGCTTAAAGTTAAGCGACGTTGGTGAAACCGGGCCTATTAAGCCCGATTGCGTTCTGAGATTCGCGTTTAGTTACCGTTCGCGTTTAGAAAGCAATTCGACTTTCGTCCCGCGAGACCTGGACGCGAGGCTATTGTCACGTTTCGGTGCCGTCATCGGCTGAGAATCGGGTGACCCAACATCCAGCCGAGGACGCAATGTAATCGCGCGTCATAATGCATAAACGCGACGATCTCGGCAATCGGTCCTGGGAGTCAGCGACGATCAGCTGTCGTATTTGAAGGCCGCGTATGTCTGCACTCACGTTTAATAAATCACGCGGTACGATTGTCCGACACGCTTTTCTTAACGCGAATCGCACCCAGTGTCGTCCAAGGCTGAGGGTCGCACAAACCGCAATTACGTCCCGCATTTTAACGCAATGCAGTCGTTAAATTCCGAGATTCATTTTTGCGACAACACGACTGTCCTGTTCAGCCGTCATCGTCAGTCAAGACTCGCACGACACGGCGACGTTTAAAGACCGATGCTGGCGATTGTGCAATTCGTCCCTCTGAGACTTATTTGCGGCACGTAACATAAAAATTGTACGTAATGCAAAGGTCACCACGTCCACATTCGTATTTAACGTTCGTTTCTTCGAGATTTATTTGCAGCACGCAACGCACAAAAATTATACGCACGGTTACACCGCTATCGGCCGGGAGGGAGACTCTCGTATCGGCCACGTTCAGGTACCCATAGTCACCCTACTCAGCCTCAAATCTATTCAGGTATATTGAGCCTGTGAGCCTCGAGATATGCGTCTAATGTACTTTTTGCCCTGAAAATCAATCTGATTCTGTCTCTCCCTCCGTTCACAATATTCGTCTGTTTGATTTTAAATGCCGCGAGATGCGACAATAACTAATACGGCCACGTTTACGCAAGGCGGCCGTGGTACGTCAGAAACATGGATACGACTACGAAGGGTGTTCGAACGCTCCGGTGCTCATCCGCGGCGGCGGCGGCGGCGGCGAAAAGGAATATCGGGAACCGGGACACGATGTGCGTTGAGACGAGAATTCCACCCGGACGGCGGCAAGATGGAAAGAGACCGTGTGGAAGAGGAGCAGCGTGCACGGATCGTCGGCGGGCGAATCGATCGGTAGGACGTGGCTGACGTTAGAGAAAGAAAGGTTCTCGCAGGGATCCCCAATTACGGTATACATATACTCACACGTGTCGCGCGACGAGAGCCGTTCCGGGCGGAGCTTCCGGGGTGACTCCGCTCCGGTGGCGGCGAGAGGTGCCGATGACAGGGGACGTCGTCGTCGTCGTCGTCGCCTCCTCGGCCACATGCACGCGCCGCGCACGCACTCGCGGAGCGTCCGGAGAGACTGAACCCCAGGGAAGTCTAAGGCGAGGAGTCGACGCGCGCGTGCGAGTTGGCGCGTTCCGCTCGGCCGTCACTCGCGTTACGCGGCACGCGAGCCACAGCCACGCGCGCTTGCGAGTCAGTCCAAGCCCGCCCGCCCGAGACGCGAACCCACCCTCGGCGACTGGCGGCTCACTCTCCCTCTCTCTCTCTCTCCCTCCGGTCGAGCGCGCGCGCACGAGGTGGGAAAGCGATGCTCCCGTGCGCTCCTCCCCGAGGTGACACGTCGACCGAACGCCGCGCTCCGCTTGGTGAAAATAGCCGGCGAGACGAACGCCAGCGCCCAGCTTGCTCCGCAAGCGTTGCGCGTGGCGAGTCACCTCTCTTGAGAGTTTTCGTGGTTTAGGGGTTGCAGGTACACGGGGATCAAGTGGGGAAAGGTGCTCTCGAGGGTGCTAACGGCGCTAACTGATCAAATTTAGCCACGCTACGGAATACGATGCCTCTTAATTTACCACCGGTCTCTCGTTTACCGCTGATGGATTAGACCCGGGTATACCTTCGAGGGCAGAAAACAGACGTTCCGCGTGGAAAAAGGGGCGAAAAAGGCAATGACTGTGGATATTTCTCGAGTGTAAAATCGGATAACGGAGATTGATCGACTCGAGATTAACGACGTTGGAAATATAAGCCTCTCGAATACGTCGCTTTAATGTACCCTTGTCGCGGCGTGTTAATCAGTTATAGTATCAGCAACGCCGGTGCTGTTTTTGCACATTACGCAGCGGTTTACTTTGTTAATTTGTTCCAAAGTAATTAAAAATCGAATAAAGTAAAGACATTCTTCAAGGACTCGCCGCTCTATCTTTTTATATTTCCTCCCTGCTCTCATTAACGGTGACTTTTATAAATAATATACGTTATTACTACTGTTACAAGTCTGTTTATCGTTTTATCATTTTTATACTTTACGCAAATACTACAATCACTCTTTTTATGAGAAAAACCTAGTAATTTTCTTGAACATGAAGTAAAAATTAATTCCATTTCGCTCCATCTATCTCGAAATACTGCTATTTTTATTGCTTCTACTCTTTTTAAATTAAATAGCTTCCATTTTTGCTTTCTTATAGAGAAAAGCTTTGTCTCCGTAAAAAAAATTTTTCTCGAGTTTTCTTTACCAATATGTTTAGAATGTTCCAAATCGTCTAAAAATCACATTTTTTTCTTAAACGTTCATAAATCGTAAAAACGATAAGGCTGAATATAGTAAATATACGAAAAAGAGTGTCACGCTTTCGTTTTAATAATACGTTCTTCGTTTCCATTATTAAATTAATAAGTTATTTTCAACCAGACTATTGTTATTAATACAGCATCTTTTTTTAAGCATACAATCAGTAGTTTTGAGGTCGGATCTGTGAGCTCCATAATTATAAGCCCAAGTAAGAGCAATATTTTGCTGTATAATATTTTTCTATCTTTTAATTAAAATACAAACGAAATCCAGGTGGGATTTTGCGGGAACAATGCGTTTAGATCGCCCTGCTGCCATCTAGGAAGCTCGTGCGGCGTTGTGAAATGAAATCGATATTTTACCGCCATCAGATTAAATAAACGTTTAAATTCTTAGTAATTTTAAGGAAATTGAAATTTAAAGAAACACCTTTAAGACGTTTCAGCCTCTAATAAATTTTGCGTGTTCGTTTATTCGTTCACGGACGATTACGATTATTGAAATTTACTTGTTAACAGCCGGCTTTAGTGTACGAATAAATGGTGCTTTCAACACAAATATGATAAGATAGATCGCATACGCGCGATATTATCAATTATTCATATTCTGCATTTAGATTGCGCTACCAACGAAGAATAAATATCTGTGACTCAGCTAGTAATTTATCATAGAAGACTCCGGTCTTCGTCGAGCTGTTACTTGCTGAGCATTACGTGCCTAGTCCGTCCACAGTCCCCCGAAATACAAGCCCGCTAGTGGACGGAAAGACCGGCTGAAGCAAAAATAACTAAAATTAAAATGTTGCCGTATAAATAGTAGGGGCCTCTATACATTGTTCTGTGTTGCAACATTCACTAAGTTTGTTGCGCAAAACGCATATACTTGTCTCCACTACTTATCATACCAATGTGGGTGTGACAGATATAGCTGTCCCAAATATTACTATTTGTTGGGATTGTGCCAACCCTAATTAGACATGTGGTAACCGGATCGGTCTCTCCGTGTAGATTTTGATAATGCTATTGAATTATTCGATTTAGATAAAATATCTTATTTCGTTTCTACAACCAAACAGTAAACGCACTATTTTATCTTCACTGTTAATACCGAAAATCAATAAAATTATTTTTAGAGCGCACAGAGATCGACTATTAGGTATTCGAGCAAATCAGGAAAAAGAGAATCGAGTTCAAAGAAACGCGGTTGGGAATGTAATATAAAAATGATTGCATTGATCACGTTAGCAGTGATAAAAACGAGTGAGATAACATCGAGCCTTCTTCCATTCTTTAAGATGATTTAGAGGAAAGTCCCCTATTACGAATTGGGCTTCTAATGTGAGATAGCAGGTCCAAATTCAACCACAAATCTTTTTTCGCGACGATTACGCGATCTAACAATGAATTTTCCACTAAACAGATTTCACTACAAGAGCAACACATTCACAGTGGAACCAATAGATAATGCTTGTTAATTCAACAGAACCCCGTTGTCTCATAATAGGAGACTTTTCTTCTTGTTACATTCATTAATTTTTCTTAACATGCAAATGTATCGTATTGCCCAACGCATCGTGGCAAAATAATAAGTTAAAAAAATGATAAAAAATAATGCATCACTGGGGAATAAAATTGAGCGCACGAAACCACACGGTGTTTTTAAGCGCGGTACGACAGTCTTTTTCAATTCCACGCGAGACAAGAAAAAACGCAGGAAAACCTGTGTTTAACGTAGACCCTCATACCCGTCTGTCCGAGCAGAATTGCACACTGCATTGTCACGCCATTGCAACTTCACTCTCAGCTTCAGGACAAACGTCAATTATTCATTCGACACGCTCGGTCGCCGATACTTCTGTCGGAGGAAGTTCGCCAGCGAATTCGCTGGAATAATTAATTATTTCAGAAGTAATAGCAGGGCACGCGCTATTTCGCGTCGACTCTCGAGACGCGCAGGTGCAAATCCTATAGGCTCCTCATGAATTCTATAGGCGATATCCACCGACGACTCGCGATTTCCGAGCGGGAGATAGGCACGAAATTCGCGATTCGGGTTCTCGTATCCGTTGTCATATTTGTCAGTCCGTCACTCGGCGATTCCCGGTTAAGATGGTGTCGGACGACTCGTTCGCGGGTGTCATCCGCGTGAACCTCGCGCTTCTCAGGCTCTCCGGCGTGGTGTCCTACGAAAATGGGAGTATCCGGCGGTCGAGCTCGCAGAACGTCCTCGGCGCGATCGCGTACGGTTGTCTGTTCGCGTACGCGGGCCTCTACACGTACGATTTCGCGTTGCACACGGTCTACCTCGACACCTGGATGGAGTCATTCGCGATGATACTCTCCCTCGTGGGCGGGCAGACGCGATTCACGATTCTCCTCTTATTTCGCGGTAGGTTCGAGCGATTACTGACAATCTGCGAGGAACTCTGGACGACGTTGAGCGCGCCCGAAAGGAAGCACGTCCGCGATTACGTCAAGACGACGAGGCAGTTGACTTACTACTATCTGTTCGGGTGCGCGTTCACCATCTTCTTTTACGCCGTGGCGAGTCTCTTCATGGGACAGCGCGATGACTCGTCGAACGCGACCACAAGGACCCTGCCGTACGCCTGTCCGGTCGAGGTCCATCGGTCGCCCTATTACGAAATAATGTACGTCGCGCAATTGTGCAGCATGATAAACGTCGGTCTCACCTGCGCCGGTGCGGACACGGTCGGGCCGGTGCTCGTCTTGACCGTCTGCGGCCACTTCAAGGTCCTTAACACGCGAATTTTGCACCTCAACGATCGCGACCGGGTAAATTCGGAAGGATCGCGTTCAGCTCTCGAGTCGCTCGAGGAGAACGACGTATCAAAAGATCGTGCAAGATTTAATCTCGAGGCCTGCGTGTACTATCATCAGACGATGCTCGAGTAAGTATAGAAAGAAGGGGTTTTCGTTTAAAAAAAAAATTATGGCGTATTAAATGTTTCAAACGGTTAGAGATTCCTCGTTTGCGAAAATGGTTTGATTAATCGACAAATACATGACATTGTTCAAATAGACTTTGCAAGGAAGTCGAGAGTCTGACCAACAGCATCTTCTTGACGCAACTGCTCGGCAGTACGTACAACGTCTCCCTCGTGGGATTTAAACTAGCGGGGGTAAGAGTGTTCGAATTAACCTTTCGTTTACATGTTATCAATCTCATTTCGCTTTGCAATTTTCAAATATCACACGTTCAAAATAGACTGAAATTTTTGTAAAGCTTTCCTCTTGGAAAGCTTATTTGCTTCACCTGAACAACAATCATTTCCGATGAATCTAAAACTGAGGATAAACGTATTCTCATTTGAAATCGAAAACGATTTAAATAAAAATAAATCTTGTCGAATCTATTGAACTTTTTTACGTTATATCTATCATCATTTAGCTGATTTGATTAATGATTGACGATACATTCTATTTACCAGTCGTGTACCAATATTACAGGATGATCCTGATAAATTTAAATATGCAACGCAACTGTTAATTGCAGTAATTCAACTGTTTTTGTGTAACTGGGCGGCGAATGTTCTTCTCACCGAGGTATGTCGGAGATATGCAATTAGATATTTATTGGATTCCAATAACAATAAAATATAAAAGTAAAAAGCTCTGAAGTACAAACGTAGGCTCGATAAAAACCGAAAAGAATAAAACAATAATATTCGAGCCTTATTCTACCAAGCTAAAAGTATGAGATAAAATATTTCTAAAAATTGAAGAAAACTTTGGAATCCACCTTCGCGTAGTCATATTTCATTAAAGGCGAATACAAGAAAACGTAAAAAGACGCGTCATGCGAACATGTGTTACGAATGACTTGAGTATGAAAAATGTGCGTTTCTTTTCGCAGACATGAAAAGGGCACTCAATTCTCGTAATGCTCTTTCGCGCAACACCTTTTTACATTTATATTTTATTAGCGCTTCAATAATATCTATCTTGTGGCTTACAATAGCGTTATTGGATTATGTTTCAGAGCCAGGACGTAGCGAGAGCGATATACTTCACGCCGTGGTATCGTTTCCCGCATCAACTAAAGAGATCTCTAAATATTATCACAATGAGATCTCAGAAACCAGCGCAGCTGACCGCCGGTTACATTATACCATTATCCTTGCAAACATTCGCGTCTGTACGTACGTCCATTGCATGCAAAACACGCCTTATCCGTTAAGTAATCATTTCGCGAATAATAAGATGTCGTATTTTAAAGAGCCAACAATATTGGCGACGAGAAGGTGTCATGTCAATAATTTGTAATTGATTTTCAAATAGTGATCAAGAGTACCTGGCCCGAGGGGGAAACCGCTGACCAAAATCTTGTACACCAATGCCCACTAATGCCCAGTGGGCATTACTTTATCTCATTAACTCAGTATATTATTTTATCTTATTTTATTTTTATAATGTTTCAGCAAGGCGTAAGGCCCCAAAAATGCCTAGCAATGCCCAAAAAATGCCCAGTAATGCCGCAAATCTGTACACCACAATGCCCTCAGCGATTTACCCCTCGACCTGGCCCTTTAGAACATCCTTACGTAGCATTGTATAAAAACGAGCTTAAATTGTTTTCGTCAGGGTTTTCTTGACCATACCTGGCACTTTTAATAATACAAAAAATTTATTGCGAAAAATATGTTCACCCTTATCGGCGCGCAGTTCAAAAAAGTCGAAATAGACACGCAGACAACATCTTTATACCGTTATGGCGACAAATATTATCATATGCCTCGGTGGTCGAATTGGTGAGACGCCCGCCTACTCTGGGAAAAAAAAAGTCAGTTAT